AATCAATTCAGCTTAACAATTTTTTAAATATTCTCAATTTTAGAATCATCTTCTTTATTTGAAAAAATCTTAACTAATTTAAAACTTGGTTTGATTTCATTATTTATTTCTACATTCTATCCAATAATAATTAAATCAAATTTTTTATTTTAAGCATCATTAAATAATTAGTTTTTAACTTATTTCTATGATTTTTCCTTCAATCCATTTAATTCTTCATCAGTCAAATCTAATATAATATTAAATATATTTACTTAAAATCTTTTTTATGAATTTGCTATCATTAACCCTTAATACAAAGTCCTTTTCTGATTTGTCTCTAATAGTAATTAATAAATATAATATTTTGTTGATTGATTAAATTGAATTTATTTCTTAAATATTGACAATAGTAGCTTTAATTCTATAGTAATTTATATAATTAAGATCAGATGTTTAGTTAAATTCTTCATGTACGCTCTTTAAATCTGAAAATTTCATTTTATAAAAAGAAGATCTCTTATCAATTAAATCAAATTCTTCGCTAATTTTTTTTTAAAACTCATTAAATTTTTCTATTTATTCAAAAAATTTAGTATTTTTTATGATCCTTGTTTTATAATTTAATTAAAGCTGAAGTTTATTTTAATAAGCTTTAACAACTAAATTTAGAAATCCTAATATTGTATTTTCCTTAAAATCGATTGTTTTAGCAAATTAACCCCATATAATTATCTTTACTTTGTCGAAATTCATATCAAAAATAGATATTTTTGTAATTTCAAGATTTGCTGATATTTATTTTGTGGGTTAAATTTTATAAATATAACCAATTAAATTGCAATCGTTACCAATCATATGAAAAGAAATTTAATTCCAATTTATCCATTTAATTGAAGAAGGTATAACTTCCATTGTAGTTTAAGAATCAAAATGTATTTGATTCTGATTATAAAATGTATCAACTCTCACTTTCTTAAAAATATATTCTTAATGATTTTCAAGTAAAGTATTAAATTAAGAATAAGCATCTTATCCAGCTACATTTATAAATAAAAAACCTTTGATTGATTATTTAGTAAAAAAATCAATTAGTGTAAAACTTAAGAAATAATTACCATCTACAGTTTATTTTTCAGCTTTATCTTATAATGTGGCTCTTATATTGTAATAATTATCTTTCATTAATTCTGAAAATTTGTTCAATTATGATTCTTTCAAATCTTAAGTCCCTTCTTCAACTTCTATGCTTGATTCCTAATAAGTAATCTTTGTAACTAAGATTGTTAACATTATCATTCATACTTTCCTTAAATTTCCCAACAACTAAAAAATCATTTTATACTTTATAATCTTCAATTTGAATAATAAGCTATTAGTTTTTAACTATCTATTTATTTAAACATTTTTTTAATATTAAATAAATATTTTTAGTCTTGATTTCATAATGATCTTCAAGAATTACACATCTATATAAAATAAAAGATTCAAATCTTTCAACTTCTGATAAATTTTTGATTGTGACTAACAATGGTATTTATTTAATTTAATCTTGTGTTCCTTGAGTAGATTGCATTTCTATGACTAATTAATTTATTATTTCTTATAATAATATTAATAATTTAAATACTTGGATTATTTATTTTTTGGAAAAGAATAATCATCTAAAAGAACAAATCCTTTCTCTTTTTTATAATTAAAATGAAACCAATGTCAATGATGAAAATGGTATCGAATCTAATAACTATCAAACTTATAATAAATTTAATATTATGCACATCTACCAAAATATGCAATATTTGAGATTTAAACTTAAATAATTTTTCTTTATTTAAAAATATTTCCAACTAAATATTCGAATAAGTCATAAATTAAAAGAAAATAATGTATCAAATACATAGCTTAGAGTTTCAATTTTATAATAATAATAATCTATTTAAAGTAATAAATCCAACTGTTATTTATTTTAGACTACATAATTGCTATTCAGATTATTAAAATTATCATTATCAAATAATATATATAAGTGTAATAATCATTATATATGTATAATTAATAATAAAAAAATTTACAAAATCAAATTTTGAAAGTGTAAGAAACCATTCTCTCATCAAATTAAAAGTTTTTTTCATTTATTAAATAATGAACAATTCTTGTGATATTCTTGACATCATCAATTCCACTGTGATGTCTACCTAACAAATCTAATCCACAAAGTTTTAACATTTCTACCATACAAGGATCCTTATAATGTTTTGGATTTCTTAAGCTTTTTGGAAACACTTTGAATAAATAATTATAATACCTTTTTTTATATTTATATAATATTGTAATTCTTTTTAAATAGGGATTCCTTTTCTAGCTCCTTCTTTTTTTAGTAAATTTAAATCATAATCTCCACAAGTTAATATACAGCATTTTTACAATCCTTATATAAACTACATAAATTCATTAATAGCTTAATCAAGTGGTATACCTTCATCAACTTATTATTAAGTTATTCCTGTTAATTCTGTGCAGAATTCACTTAAAATAGGATTTTCAATTGGTTTTATATATTTAGAAAATTCTTTTATAACTTTTCTTTCCTAAATATTATAAACTTATGCTGGAAACTCTATAATTTCTTATAAGTATTTCTTATCTGCCTCTCTTATACATGTTGCTTCAAAATCAAGAATGATTATATTATCAAATCCTTATAATCTAGCTTCTTCTTCTGGTATTGGAAATTTCAATGTTTATAACATATTTAATTCAAATTTATAGGCTCTATCTAATAATTCACTTACAACTTCTGCCAAAGCAAAACAATCAGCTAAGTAATTCAAAAATATTAATACATTAATATGGTATTTTCAATTCTTTCATCATAGCATTTAAAGTTAATTAACCATTAGAATTAGGATATACTCTTCTAAGCTCAATATATTTTTTAATTGGACACTATAAATTACAATATTAGCATTATTCTAAATATATCTTAGCTTTTTCTCTATTCTCAAATATATATATATCACCAGACAAAAATTAAAAAGATTCTTAAAATGAAATACCTTAATCAGCTTATTCTTATGTAATAGTGCTATACTCTGGATTTTGAATAAGAGGTATTAAATAAGGCTTAATAATAAGTTGTTTTGAAAAGACAACATTATAATTAGATTCTGATAATTTTAATTTACATATAAGTAATTCCAAAATCTCTCTTCTATCTTCTACTTTATTGCATTCAAAATCTATTATATTGATCTCTGTAAATCCTTAATTATCATTTTATTAGTCTTAAATATTATTTATTAATTACAATCAAATTTCATTTATTGACAAAATTGCTCTTTCACAGTTCCACAATATTAACATTTTTTGAGAAAGTAATCATTTTATTAATTACAAGCGACACAATCCCAGGGATATTATAGCTACTCATCATTTTAAATCATAATTAATAATAAATATCTATTATAATTAAAAAGAATTTAAATGTAATAAAAACTTAGGTGAACTGTGTATTTAAAATCATAAATAAGTATTGATTGTCTTTAAAAAAGACTACATAAAATAGTCTAAAATATTTGATAAATCATAAGATTTTAGAAATACCTTATCAAAATCTATTTATCCTGTAATATTATATTAACAGACTATCAATACAATAATGACTCTAATAAATTATTATCTTTATTTCTCTTTATTCAAATAGGATTGGACTTAAATTATGGGGGATTTAATACTAAATATATGGATTTGAGAATTTATCTTTTAAATAGTATTGCTATCTTTATTAAGTTTTTAAGTTTAATATTAATTTATTCATTATTTTAGTTTGATAATTTTAAATTATTGATCAAACTATTAGCTTTATTTAATGAAATCAAAAATGTCGATAATAAATTTCTAAAATTATAAATTATTTATTAATTAAGTATATATTTGATGATCTAATCTGTAATATAGCTATTTTGTATTAAATATTGAATAATAATGTGGTGTTTCTTAAATAATTGAATAATGATCTATTTTTAAACAAAAATATAGTAATATTACTTAGTGTTATTTTAGTAATATATGATTTTCTAATGTATTGTTTTAATAATTCATTAATTTTCATTATTTAATGAAGACTTAAGTAAGCCAATAAAATACCCCTAAGTAAATATAATTTGATAATTAAGAGCTGCTTCGAAATATTCATACAAAGAATCCTATTAATAAAGAACACCTCTTAGATAGGATAATTTTTTGAATCTTTATGAAAAATATTTGAATTGTCAGGGAAGGAAAAGATCTCATTAAATGGATGAAGCTAGAAGTCCATTACAATAGTCTACTTCCCTGCATTATTTAAATAAAAAAAATGAAGTTGGTGTACATAGATTTTCTCTCGATAATTTCAACTTGGATAAGAGGTAGTGTAATGTATTATTATTAATACGTAGTTCCAAAGGATTGAAATCATATCTCACAACTATCAATAGTTCAAATAGCATTTTAAATTAAAAGGCTAATAATTCATACTTTCCAAACAAAAATGATTCAAGTTAGGTACGATCATAGACAGCAGATGGACAAAGTGTGTTGACAGATGAAATTGATAAAAAACCTATTAAAGACAAATTCATTAGTATAATACTATATAATCTTCATAGTAGATGTTGTGTGTAAAACAAAAAGATTGGCTGAAAAGCTTCAATAGATGAATAAATAAAATTAAAAAATGAAAGAATCTTAAAATCTAGCATTTCTATTAAAAGGTCATTAACAGAAGAAATAATCATTTACATCTTCTGATTTAAAAAAGGTTTTAGCAAAAACTAAAATAATTCTTGAAAATTACAAAAGAGAGAATAAATTACTAATCGAGCATAATTTATTATTGAATGATGAATTATTAGAATCATAAGATTAACTAAGATAAAAAAATGAAGAAATCTAAAGATTAAGACAAATGCTATATTAGCAATGAATTTTATTATAACTAATCTTTCGGTAAAAGTTTATAGTTTTTATTTAATAAATTTATGATTAAAAAACCATAATTGTTAAATCTAGCTTTGAAGCCAATCACTAATGAAGTGGAGGAAGTTTCATCTAAGTCTGAAAAGTAATTGAATGAAAATCAATTTGATATCTCTTAAAGTAATACTGTAAATTAATAAAGAATTATTGTATGCATTAGAAAAACCAACTATTAATACAAAAAATGCAAATAGTTGTAGAAATAGCACTGGAAGATTATCAGCTTTTGATTTTTTGAATTCAAGTACATCAAAAGCCAATGAAAAGAAAACATTTTCAATTACATTGAATTATTTTAGAAATGAAAAAAATAATGTTGTAATAGCAAGAAATTCTACTAATCTTTATGGTTTCTCAAAGGTATCATCGAAAGTGAGATGAATTTTCAAAAATTTGATATTTAGATTCTATTAATATAAATATAAATCTCTAAAATCTAAAATGAAAGAATTTATTAAAATAGTTCTATAATTATTAATAAAATTAAGTAAATTTTATAGAAATTAAAGTTATTTACTATTATTCTTGATAGATCTATATAAATTCAAGCTTTCAATTAGAATTAATTTGATTTTTTTTTCCTTTCAGGTACTTCATCATTAAAGGAGAGGGATTCTTAATATATCATATTTTAAAGTATTTCTTTGGTTGGCTCGAAATTATCCCAACTCCAATCAAAGGCTTTACCACTTAAAGGTTCTTCATCAGGATTATGTAATTCATCGAAATAGGGATGTTAGAGACATTATTCAACAGTATAACGTTATTCTGGATTAAATGTTATCATCTTTCCCAATAAATCTAAAGCTTTATTATTTGCCTAATATAAGTATTGGAAATCATACCTTTGGAAATAGAGCTTCCCACTTCTACTTGGATCTTTTTGGAAGACTTTTAATGTATTTAATAGCATTATTGTTACCAATATATTTCATATCATCAGCAGTAGGACTCCCCAAGACTGCAATAATTCTTTAAACTTAATCTAAATAATTTTCGCCTGGGAACAAAGGAGTTCTTCCCAATAATTCTGCCAAGATACAACCAACAGAATAAATGTCAACGGCTTTACTGTATTCTGATGCATTCAATATTACTTCAGGAGCCCTATACCATCTAGTAACAACATATCTAGAATAATTGAATTATTTAATACTCTGTTTTAAAGTCTTCTTCATTTTCATATCCCCTTGCTAAACCTAAATCGCATATTTTTAAATCGCAATTTTTGTTTACTAAAATATTGCCTGGTTTAAGATCACGATGAATTACATTGGCTGAATGCATGTAAAGTAATCCTCTTAGAATTTAGTAAACAAAATATTGAATGTGCTCATCTGTTAGTTCTTACCTAGAATATATAACTCTATGTAAATCTGTTTCCATAAATTCTGTTACAATATAAATATCATTAAATCCAGTTTTTGCTTCAGGCTTTTATACATCATAAAGTGATATGATATTCTCATGTTTAAAAAATTCTTTATATAATTTCAAATGTACTTAGTAATTTGATTTCTCTAACTATCCTTTTGCCATCAATCAAATCATCGAATGCATTTGCGACCTTTATAAATTTATAGAATTACTTTTTTTATTGCTACTTTTTACCCAGTTCTCTTATTTTAAGCAGAACATACAACTCCATAGGCTCCATGTCCAATCTATTTAATATATTCATATTTTTAATCAACTACAAAAGTTTGACCTAGAAATTGTTCATTATAAATACCTCCACATTAAAATGAATGTCTTCCCTTAGGGATATTAATACTTTTAGGATCTGGATTCATATGTATTTAATATTTAATTAATTAAAAATGGGTATATGTTTTGGGATTTTAGATGAAGACAATAAAGAAGACAAAAAAAAGAATCCTAATCCAATAGAATAATAAGATTCTCAGAAAGAAAAGGAAGAGGAAATAAGTTATTAACTTGAAAATTTCACATTTAAGAATGTAATACAAAAATTTTAATGAATAGGTACTTGGTACTGGAGCGTTTGGGAAAGTATTATTAGCAGAACACATCAAAACAAAGTAGTATTTTGCTATAAAAATCATTGACAAAAAGCAATTAGAAAATTATAATTTTGTAGAATCAGAACATTAGATTTTATAGCAAACACAAAGTCCTTTTATAATAAAACTTTATTTTACATTTGAGAATAATAATAAATTATATTTGGGAACAGAATTTGTTAATGGTGGTGATTTATTTGTACATTTAAAGAAAAATGTGTAATTTTCAGAGGAAAGGACAAGATTTTATGCTGTCGAATTAATTTTAGCATTAAAATATTTACATGAAAACAGAATTATTTATAGAGATTTAAAACCAGAAAATATTTTATTGGATTAATTTGGACATATCAAATTAACAGACTTTGGTTTATCCAAATTTAAATTTAGTTAAATTACATATACAGCATGTGGAACACCAGAGTATGTGGCACCTGAAATATTGCTTGAACAAGGTTATAATGAATGTGTAGATTGGTATTCATTAGTAAAAAAGTATCTAATTTATATAGGGAATCCTAATCTATTAAATGTTATGTGGAACCATTCCATTCTATTCATAGCAGTAGCAGGAAATGATCAATAAGAGATTATCTTAGCCTTTTGAATTTCCAAAGTATTTGAGTTAAAAGGCAGTTGATTTGATAAAGAGATTAACTGAGAATGAGGTTCATAATAGAGAGTTTCATTAAGGTTTCAAAACGCTTAGGGTTTAAGGGAGCTGACGAAATCCTTCGACATCCTTTTTTTGAAGATATAGACCTAGAAGCAATGTCCAAAAGATAAGTAGAGCCACCTTTTAGACCTTAATTGGAAGGAAAGAAAGATTTAAGATATTTAGATCCTGTAATTATTTGTATTATTATTATAAAAGGATTTGTTACAATAAGAAATTAAATTTGAAGAAGAATTAGATAATTGATGATGTATTATTAAAAATAATATTAAAATATGGATTAAAATCCAATCCCTTTGCCAAAAGAGTACCCTGTTCCTAATGATTTTCATTTAAACCTTAGAAAGAGATTTCTAGATTTCTTCAAAGAATAGTTAGGAGAGTAAACAAAAAATAGTATAGTATTTCTCAAAGGGGCAGAAACAATTGATAAACATGATGATGGTAAAATATATTGTATTAATTACTTTTTAGATTAATAATATCGTGTAGAGTAAGAGAGCAATTTCAAATATTTATTTGGTTGTGAATTATTGGATTGTTATGGAATATTGGAAGTGGAATCAGGAAAAGTGACAGTTTTTGTACCAAAATATCCTGAATCATATAAAATGTGGATGGTTGTTTTCAGTAATGAAGAAATCAAAGAGAAATATAGATTAGATGATGTATAATATGTTGATTAATTGGAATCATGGATAGAGAAAAGAGCACCATCACTTATATACATTTATAAAGGATAAGATTCTGATTCTAAATTAATATCATCATATCCTGATTTTCCATATTTATCTAAGTATAAATTAAATGAGGAAGAGTTATATTGGACATTAAATGAATGTAGAGTTAAGAAAACTGATTAAGAGATTGAAATACTTAGATATGTGGCTTTATTGGCAAGTGAATCACATGAAAATGTTATGCGTAGAATCAGACCAGGAAATAAAGAATATTAAATGGAGGCATTATTTAAATATCACAATTTTGTATATAGTGGATGTAGATTTACACCATATGAATGTATTTGTGCTTCAGGAACAGGAGGAGCAACATTACATTATATTGAGAATGATAAAACAATTGAAGATAAATAATTAATATTGGCAGATATGGGTGCAAGATATTATGGATATAATAGTGATATTACAGTAACATTTCCAAGTAATGGTAAATTTGATGAAAAATAATCAATTATATATAATGCTGTTTTGGATGCTTAAAGATAAGTTCATGCTTCTTTAAAAGTAGGAATAAATTGGGGTGATATGCATCTTTTAGCTGAAAGAGTTATTACTTAACATTTATTAGATGCAGGTTTACTTGTTGGAACAATAGAAGAATTAATGGAAAATAGAATAGGTAAGATCTTCTTTTGTCATGGATTGGGTCATTTATTAGGAATGAGAACACATGATGTTGGTGGCTATAACAAAGGTTGTCCTCCTAGAATTCCAGGTATTAAATTTATTCAAATTTTAGAACTTTAATCATTAAGATTTAGAAGAAATTTAGAAGTTGGTATGGTATTTACAAATGAACCTGGAATATATTTTGTTGATTTTATTATTTAAGAGGCATTTAAAGATTAAACTAAAGCAAGATTTTTGAATTAAGAAAAAATTGCAGAATTCATGTATGTAGGTGGAGTTAGATTAGAAGATGACATTGCTTTAACAGTAAATGGTCCTGAAATATTAAATTTGGTTCCAAGATCTATAGAATAAGTAGAAGCATGTATGAGGGGTGAAGATTGGAAATTAATTCAATGAATAATAATATTGTAATCATCATATAAAATCAATGAATTTAATTTATGAATTATGATTCTAAGAGAATAGAGACAAACTATTCCCCTTACTTTGAATAGGTTTCTCTAAATAAATTAAAAAGAGATGAATATCATAGTCTCTAAAGAATACATGATAATTCTGTTAGAAAAAACAAATTATTATTACCATCTATTGAAAATAGTACACTTGAAGATATTTCAATGCATTTTAGTAAATGTGTAAATTCTAGTAAATCTCCTGAAAAAAAATTAGATAAACTTTAAGTTAACAAAAACTAATTGGAATTTATTTAACAAAGTTTTTTGGAATTAGAATAAACAAAAATGTCAATAACAATGAGAGATATGAATAATGTGAGGAATAAATTTAATTGTCATTAAAGAATAATAGCAAATAAAGAATTATATACTGTCAGAAATCTAGAAAAATAAATGGGTAGTAATTAAGAAGATTATTCTAATTTAATGTACCTTTAATAAATACCACCTTAAACTAAAAACAAATAAGAAACTAACATGGCTTTTTTTGAAGAAACTTTAAATGCTTATTCATATGCAATTCCTAGTAGAAGAGAATCAGCATAAATAGCTGTTATTAGAGATAAAGTATATGTTTTTGGAGGTATGAGTGGAGCTGGTTTAAATAGTGATTTATGGTCTTATGATATAAGTAATATATATAGATTTATCAATTTAGAAAAATAAGAATGGCAATTACATTAATCAGATATCAATTTGAAAGTTACTAATCATTCTATGATTGCATGGAAACATATGTTAATTATTTTTGGTGGTAGTGGTTATTATGATCATAAAATGAAAATAAGATAAGTTTATTCAACTTTAGCTTATTTTAATACTCAAACTAATTAATGGTCAATAACATTAGAATCTATAGAACCTAGAAGAGAACATAAAGCTGTTTTATATTTGGGAAAATATATGATTATAACAGGTGGCATAGATTCAGGTGAATAATTATTAAATGATACACTTATGTATTCTTTGGATTCAAGAAGATGGTTAGGGTCTAAAATATATTTTGATGAAGGAATAGCTTAACATGCTATTTGTGAAGCATTTGATTTTAAAAGAAATGTAGATACAATTTATCTATTTGGTGGTAAAACTAAATCTTTGGGTTCATTTCCTTTAATGAGATTGGTTTTCTCTGGATAAGCTCCCTAGAGTTGGGAGAGAGTTTAAGGAACTGGTGTATCACCTTAAGGAAGATATAATCATACAATGGAATGTTTAAATGATAGTTTAATTTTGATTGGAGGTAGATCATAAGCAATATAAGAGTATTAAAATGAAATATTAGTATTTAATTTGATTTTAAGTTAATGGATATAAGTAAAACGATAAGGTTTAATGACAAAAAGATGGAGTCATTGTAGTTGTATATTTGCTTCAAATATCTTCTGCTTTGGAGGCATAGGAGAAGTAACTTATCTACCTCCAGTTGTATTTTCAATTGAAACAGATTAATTCAAAATAAAAAATAAAATGGTTATTATAAAAAGATTATCAACTATAGCTGAAGATATGAAAAAATAGAATCAAGAATATAAATAGATTAAGAGAACATGTAGATTAGAAAAATTTAGAAAAGCAGAAAAGTTGTATGAAAAAGTAACAACATTTTTGCCATTACCAAAGATGAGAACTCCAAAAATGAGATATGATATTTGGATGTAATTTATACGTAAAATCTTACATTCTTTGAACTTAATTTTCTGAAATTAATAATGATAAAATTGTGACTTTATTATTAATAATTAAAAAAATTATTAATTCATCTTAAAAGTATTTTAGGTATTTTGGATAATTTGGACAAATTAAGGTTTATAAGTCATTTTATCAAATTAATTGAGGCATTTTATATATCATTATTTAAATAATCTCAATTTTACTTAAATTTCTCATAATTTGGATATGCCTAAGATTTAGATTCTATTATTGCATTTAAGGTTTCAAAGTAAAAATGTCAAGCAATTTATAAAACAAAACTATAAAAGAATTAGAATATGGTAATAATTTAACAGAGATTCTATTAAATAACATTTAAAATTATCTAAATCTATGTCGAATCAGTATTTAGATTCAATTTGGTAATGCATTTTATTTAGATTATCTATCCTAAAAATTTTAAGTGAGAATTATATTTAAAGAGATTTAAATTTCTTTAAAAAGATCTATATTTCTTGAAGTTGAAAAGAAAATAAACTGGGGGATAGACAAAAGAAAATAAATAAGGCTTTATACAGAGATATTCCCATAAAATCAAAAATATTTTAAATTATTTATCTTATAATAGGCTCAAATTCTAAGCTTAATAGTTCTTTAGTAATGTTGAGAAACATTGGTTTCCAATAATTCTGTTTGGAACTTTGATTTATCATATAAATTTAATTAATTTTCAATTAATATTAAAATCATTAAATTTTATATATCAAAATAATTATTCTACTAAAAGTTATAAAATAATTAATTTGATATTTGATAATACATAAAAGATTACACTTATAAATATAATAATTATATTATAAATATCATAAAATAACCAAATCATATTTTTGTTATTCCATGTACACCACTTTCTACAAAACCTGCATTTGTCATTTGAATAAATTAAACATTCTTTTATAATTCAGCAATATTAGAAGCACCACAATAACTCATACCTGATTGAATACCTTTTTTAAATTATTCTAATACAATAGATACTTTCTATGTTTATAAATGAAATATATTACCCCTGCAAATGGTATATATCCTTCAACTCCTTCAGGTGCAAAGGTTGTGCTTGATGGTTCATCTTTACCAGTTCTTTATGCTTTGGAAACATTAGCACCAAAACCAGCCATTCCTCTATAAACTTTTAAAATCTTTCCTTCTCTATAAATTTCTTTAGATGGAGATTCTTAACAACCTGCTAATAATCTACCAAGCATAATGCAATCTGCTCCAACAGCCAAAGCCTTACACATATTTCCACTATTCTTATTACCACCATCAGACATTAATGGAATATTATATTCCTTACAAACAGGAGCTACATCCATTAATGCACTAAATTATGGAACACCACAACCTGACACAACTCTTGTGATACAAATAGATCCATTACCAATTCCACATCTAATACCATCTGCACCTGCTTATATCAATCTTCTAGCACCATCTCCTGTTGCAATAGAACCAGCTATAATATCAACAGAAACTTCCTTTTTTAATTATTCAACTGTTCTTATTGCCAATTAAGAATGTCCATTAGCAACATCTAATACAATTACATCACAACCACTATTGACTAATCTTTTAGCTCTTGTGATTTCTTCATCTGTTGCACCCACTGCTCCTCCAACTATTAATCTACCCATTTAATCAAGAACTTTTAGTTCTGAATCAATTTTTAAATCTTTTAAATTAATCAATCCTTTAATATTATTTTTATCATCAACCACAGGTAATTTCTCTAATTTATGAGATAACATTTTTTATCTTGCATTTTCTTTGCTAACATCTAAATAATGAAGAGTCACTAACTTTTCTCTTGGAGTCATCAATTCTTTTACTAATTTTGTTAATGGTTATTCATAACAATCTCTATTAGTGATAATTCCTAATAGAGGCAAGGATTTATAACGAGGAGAACCTGTTTCATCAGTTTCCTCATAATCTTCATTGTGTTCAATTAAATTATCATCAGTGACTAAAAATGTCTTACATTTCCATTCATCTGCTAAACTTAAGACTTTATTCAGAGTGAAATTTAGACCAACAACAAAAGGTCTATTTTTAATATATGCTTCTGATCGTTTAACTTTTTTAATTTATTCAACTTATTCATTTGCTGTCATGAATCTATGGATTACACCCAATCCACCATTTCCTGCCATATGAATTGCCATTTCAGTTTCAGTAACTGTATCCATAGGGCTACTTATAAAGGGTATTTTAAGTTTGATATTTTAACTACAGCGAGTTTCGACTAAGCAATTAGTTCTACTCTCAATTGTTGAATATTAAGGAACCATTAGAACATCATCAAATGTCAAGGCTGTTTAGATACCATTGCGCCAATTACTACTTAACATATAAATTAATATAGCGCCATAGTAAAGATAGTATTGGTCTTAAAATGGACATTAATACGTGAGTTTTCATATTATTTAGATAAGAAATGTTTGCATTTAATTAAACAAGGAAATCTTTTAATTTAAAAATATAATTATAATCATAATGGCACAATAATCATAGGCAGTAGCATATGCAGCACTTCTCTTAGCAGGTTCAAATACTCCATTAACAGCTGATAATGTAGAAAAATTGACAAAAAAAGTATTTCACATATTTGAAATGATTTACAGGCAGGAGTCAATGTTCCAAAATAATTGGCAGCCGCATTCGTTAAAGCTTTTGAGGGTAAAGACATCATGAGTTTGCTTTCTGTTGGTGGAGGATCAAGTTCAGCTCCAGCTGCTTAAACAACTTAGGTTGCTGCCAAACCAGCTGAAGCACCAAAAGCAGCTGAAAAACCAAAAGACCCAGAACCTGAAGAAGATGTTGATATGGGAGGTTTATTTGATTGAAATCAATTACAATAGTACATTTATAATATATTTTAACTTTGCATTTCAAATTGCGAATTCTCTATTATTATTATTATTAATACCCTTATTTATAATACATGTTATCTATTAATATATATGCATGAAAGTAATCCTAATTTATATATATTTAGTGAATATTTAATACTATTTAATATTTTAAATTCATTATTGTTCAGTTTTTGTTTTTTTTCTTGACTTCTCTGCATATTCAATGGCCTAATATAGTAATTTTTATCTTTCTAGTAATCTTTACAACTCTTTTTTCTTTTCCTCATATTCTAATTTCTTACTATCTAACAATTAATTTGGCTCAAAATAACATTTAATCATTTTACAATTCCTGAATCTTGTCCCTCTGCATCAACCAATAAATTCCATAGTTCAGTCATAAATGGTAAGGTATTTTTTTCAAAATATCCCATTATTTAAATACTTAGAACTTTTGGATCAGGTCCTCTAATATCTTCGCTTTATTGTTCTAAGTAATTAATTATTTATCTCTAAACTACTTCATCTTCTATTCCAATATACTATATCATTTTTTTTTCAATCCATGGTTTAATTACTGATAAATCAATCTAATTATATATAAAGAAATTATACATTTTTCATATTTAGCTTACGATTGAAAACTTCAGGCCATTGTTTATTCATAATAAGTTTACGCTCCTTATCACCAAATCGAGAATCTTAATCTGTCGAAGTTCCTTTAAAAAAGTTTCCAGCCATATAAATTCTTATTATAATTATTAAACAATTTAAATTAAAAATTTGTTTTAGTTTATAATAATACCAATTTATATATTGAAATCTTAATAATAATTCAAATCTTTATGAATATATTAATAAATAATATTATAATATCTTATAAGGAGTAATATTATTAATAAAATATATAATATATAAAAGAAATATATAATTGAATATAAATAAGCATATAAAGAATTAACAATCAAGCATCAAAGGTTTTTTCATCTGGAGTTTTGAAACCATATTATTCATGAATTCCTTAAAATTATTCTTTTTATTTTTGTTCTAAGAAATCTTCTACTTTTTAATTTTTCTTCCATTTGAGCCAGATTGAGAGTAATGAATATACTAATCCAGAAACCCATAATCTAAGTTCAAACATTAAACTTGAATGATATTTTCTATTAAATTTTTATGATTCAAGAATATCATTAAATTATTATGTACCTTGTTATGCATATCTTGCCATAATATTGATTCTATTAACAAGACTACCACATCTTTTATTCACAGATCTAACAAGATTCATATTTCTATTAACAAAAATTAAATCCTTTGGAAATAAATCAGTTTATTTCATCATTTCTCTAATTTCATCTTTCATTTTTAATTATAATTTCATAACATCTTCTTTAGTAACTTGATGACAATGAACTGGTTATTTCATTTAATATGGTTTCATTAATTACATAGAAGCAAACATCTCTTCATTACCTATTCCCCATTTCCTTACTATCTATTTAAGTTTAGTAAAATCTTATAAAAATATTGAAGTCCAAAATTCTGAATAATCTAATCTAAATTAATTTTCTAATTTAATGCATAATCCAAAATCCAATAATACAACTTCATATTATTTATTATTTCCTGGTTTAGGTCTAATAAATATATTTCCTGGATGTGGATCACAATGAACAAATCCTGAAATAAAGATTTATTCAGCAAAAGCACTTATAACAGTATCCATTATTTATTTTGTATTGAAACCTAACTTTTTAATTTCATCTTAATGTGATATTTTAATTCCATCTATCCATTCAGAAACAAGAATTCTTTAAGTATTTAATTCATCATAATATTTAGGAATATGAACATCTTTTCTTCCTATTATTTATAATGCTCTTCTACTTATTTCTCCATTCTCATATTCAATTCTAAAATCAATTTCCTTCTATAAATTAGATTGAATTGATTCTTAAAATTATAAAATAGGCATATCAAATGCATATTATAATACTCCACAAATTATATGATGCATTAACATATCACTTCCAAATTATTTCTTTATGTTTGGTTTCTAAACTTTTACAGCAACAATATCTCCATTCTTTAATTTTGCTTTATGAACCTAAGCTATACTAGCAGATGCAATAGGAATTTCATCAAATTCATCAAAAATCTCTTCAATTGTTTTCCCAATCTCTTCTTCAAAAATATCTCTAACTCGTTTAAAACTAACTGCTTTTGCTTTATCTTAAAGTAAACTCATCCATTTAAAATAAGGAGGAGGTAATAAATGTTCAGATGCAGCTATTCCTTAACCAAATTTAACATATAATCCATCATTTCTTATACAAGTTTCATAGATATCCTTAGCTACTGTTTCATGAACATCATTTGCATTCTCTGCATTAAATCTAATTTTATATTAATACAGAATATTCAATCCACAACGAATAGTATTTGCATTTCTTCTGATTATCTTACTAAATTACTTAATTTTCATAGATACCTTTCATTATATTCATCATAACCAAAAGCTGCTAATCCTAATCCAAGTGAGTATTTTAAGAATTTTCTCATTATTAAAGGTTTTATTTTTATCAAACTTTAATTATGGTACTTCTTATATAACCATATACAGTATTAATCAGAAAAGATTTATAGATGTTTATTCTAAAATCCAAAATCAGCATTTAGATCATAAAATATAAAACATTCTATTTATATCATTCATTCTCTATTATTAATACAATTTCATTAAATATTTCAATTTATTATCTAAGCTTTAAGTAAAAATATTAAGACTTTCAATCAATATTTCATTATCTCATAAGTTTCTTTTTTAAAAATATTTTAATTTGTATTTTATTATTTAATCTGATGTATATGTCAGATATTTATAATATTAAAATTATATCAACTCTTTTGAATCTATAGTTATTTTATATTTTGATAATAACCAATAAAATCTTATATTTAGTTATGTGTCTAAAAATTTAATGAATTTAAAATCTTAATTTCATTTACTTAATTCCTTTGTTTAGTTTATTTATCATTTTTATATGAATTATGATAATTTAATATCTAAAAGACATTTATTTAATAATTTTTATTTTAGGAGGAAAACACATTAAAAATTAAATGAGACATATTGCCAGAAATAATTGCATAATAAATAAAATCAAAGATGGATTGGCCACTGTTCAATTTAATAGACCTGAAAAGCTTAATGCAGTCAATCTTGAAATGTGTGAAGATATTCTTGAAAGTGCAAAACTTTGGAATGAACATGCTGTTGTGACTATTTTATAAGGAAATGGTAAAACCTTTTCTGTTGGAGCAGACTTTTAGTAAATTAATAAATAACATTAGACACTTATTAAATATATCTCAAAGAACAAATGATTAATCAAATGTATCTACTAATGATCAATTAAAAGATATATCTAAAATTAGTCAATTAGGTGATTAAACTAAAAAAGCACTTTATACTATGAACTAAACTAAAAGTATAATGGTTTCAATTATGAATGGATCTGCTATAGGAATAGGTGCTGGTTTTGGAATTAATTCTCGTTTTAAAATTGCAACAGAGAATTCAACATTTGTTATGCCTTAATGTAAAATAGGTATGGTACCTGATGGAGGAAGTGCCTTACATTTTAGTAAATTACAACAAAATTATGGTTTGTATTTGGGTATGAGTGGTGAATAAATTGATGGCATAAAAATGGTTCATTTAGGTATAGCTGACTTTCTAATTGACAGTTAATGCTTACCTGAAATTGAAGAGGAATTTGAACATGCATATTTCTTAAGAGATGAAGAATCTATAGAAGAATTTTTACTATAAAGATTTTGTTAAAGACATAGAACAGAATTTAATATTCCTAAATAATTTGAAAATGTATTGGGTTTATCTTCTTTACCATCAATTATGTCTGCTATGGAAGCACAATTTCCACAATAAGCTGCTGAAATTAGAAAAAATAGTGCTTTTAGTGTTTATGCATTTTATGAATAATATATGAGAAATAAAAAGACAAAATTATCTCTAAAAGATAATCTAAANATGTCAGATATTTATAATATTAAAATTATATCAACTCTTTTGAATCTATAGTTATTTTATATTTTGATAATAACCAATAAAATCTTATATTTAGTTATGTGTCTAAAAATTTAATGAATTTAAAATCTTAATTTCATTTACTTAATTCCTTTGTTTAGTTTATTTATCATTTTTATATGAATTATGATAATTTAATATCTAAAAGACATTTATTTAATAATTTTTATTTTAGGAGGAAAACACATTAAAAATTAAATGAGACATATTGCCAGAAATAATTGCATAATAAATAAAATCAAAGATGGATTGGCCACTGTTCAATTTAATAGACCTGAAAAGCTTAATGCAGTCAATCTTGAAATGTGTGAAGATATTCTTGAAAGTGCAAAACTTTGGAATGAACATGCTGTTGTGACTATTTTATAAGGAAATGGTAAAACCTTTTCTGTTGGAGCAGACTTTTAGTAAATTAATAAATAACATTAGACACTTATTAAATATATCTCAAAGAACAAATGATTAATCAAATGTATCTACTAATGATCAATTAAAAGATATATCTAAAATTAGTCAATTAGGTGATTAAACTAAAAAAGCACTTTATACTATGAACTAAACTAAAAGTATAATGGTTTCAATTATGAATGGATCTGCTATAGGAATAGGTGCTGGTTTTGGAATTAATTCTCGTTTTAAAATTGCAACAGAGAATTCAACATTTGTTATGCCTTAATGTAAAATAGGTATGGTACCTGATGGAGGAAGTGCCTTACATTTTAGTAAATTACAACAAAATTATGGTTTGTATTTGGGTATGAGTGGTGAATAAATTGATGGCATAAAAATGGTTCATTTAGGTATAGCTGACTTTCTAATTGACAGTTAATGCTTACCTGAAATTGAAGAGGAATTTGAACATGCATATTTCTTAAGAGATGAAGAATCTATAGAAGAATTTTTACTATAAAGATTTTGTTAAAGACATAGAACAGAATTTAATATTCCTAAATAATTTGAAAATGTATTGGGTTTATCTTCTTTACCATCAATTATGTCTGCTATGGAAGCACAATTTCCACAATAAGCTGCTGAAATTAGAAAAAATAGTGCTTTTAGTGTTTATGCATTTTATGAATAATATATGAGAAATAAAAAGACAAAATTATCTCTAAAAGATAATCTAAAAATGGAATAATCTATTTTGGATAAAGTTGTTGTTAGACCTGATCTTATTGAAGGCTTAAAAAGTTAATATGTTGATACTTCTTATGCACCTAAATTTAATCCAAAAACTATAGAAGAAGTAAATTAAGAAGAAATTTAAAGATGTTTTGAACCTTGTTCTAGAAAGTTGTTTGATGATTGAGTATTTTAATTAAATTATTTAATGAAAGTAATATTAATCTTTGGTTGTCCAGGATCAGGTAAGACTACATTATCTAAATTCCTTAATACAGATATTATAATAGAAGCCGATTCTTTATAATAGGAAAATTAATTTAACCCAGATGATTGGAAAAAATCTCGATTTTAAGTTAGATAATTATTAGAATAATATTTAAAAGAAAAGAAATTTTAAACTATATTAATAGATGATGATTTTCTATTAATGAGTTAGAGAAAATAAATCTTACATATATGTCAAAAATTTAAGGCAAGTTATATAGAAATTTTAATTAATGTAAATTTACAAGATCTTTTACACAGAAATTCAACAAGAGATTTAAAAAAGAGATTAAATGAAGAAATTGTAGAACTCCTTTTTAATAAATTTGAATCTAATAATTTAAAAAATACAATTATCATCGATAGTATATATAATACATTTGAATTATTAAATTAATAAATTATTGATATGGATATCAAACATTAAAATGAATATTTAAGTGAAATTCAAGTTATCAATGAAAAAGAGAATTAAATAAAGTAAAACTAAGAAAATATTATACATTAAACTGATTTAGAATTAAGAAAAGTAATTTCTACATTATGTAAATAAACTGGAAAATAATGTAATTACGATCCAAAATATTTAAGTCTAAAAAAAAAATAATTTTTATAGTCCAACTTAACTGAAAATGTAGAAGAGAATGTATATTTATTTTTATAAACATTATGACTATGTTACTAATTAATATTTAATAGTATAATTATTGGATTTTTATGTTATATTATGATTAATACAATAATTCAACACAAAATAGTATTATATAGAAAGATATAAGCACAACAATTTTATATATTCATTCTTATTTAAATTAAAAGATTGTAATTAAAATAATCTATCTTCATTATCTTAATATTATTATTTATATAGAATTTGTAAATTATAATAACAATAATATCTAAAACTTTAAATAAGAGTAAATTTAAATACTAATCTTTGCAAATTTTATATTATATATTCTATTTTGCAATAAGTAAAATCACTTTATTTATAGTATTTACATTTTATTTATTCCACAATATCTATAATATTATTTATCATCTAAATTAATTATATGTATTTGATTAGTATTTTAGTGATATCTCAGGATTTGAATAAATTATTTTAGCTGATGTTTAATACTTATTTTTTTCTTTTATTTTCAAAAAATATATTAAAAGATTTTCATTAACTATGGTAAATTTGATTATGATTATTCCTTTAGCCAAAAGCTCCAAAGACATCTAAAGCTAAGAAGGTTTAAAAGAAAGTAGCAGATAGAAAGAAGAATCCACTCTTTGTTAAAGATGCTAAAAACTTCAGAATTGGAAATGATGTTCAACCAAAGAGAGATTTATCAAGATATGTTAGATGGCCTCGCTATATTCTTTTACATAGATAAAAAAAGATTTTATTGCAAAGAATCAAAGTACCAGCAGCTATTCATTAATTCAGCAAAACACTTGACAAGAATCAAAGTAAATTGTAAATTTTAATTTAAGGCTCAAAGGTCTATTCTTTATTAAAAAAATATGCACCTGAAACTAAAACAGAAAAGAAATAAAGATTAGTCAAGGCTGCTGAATCAAAGGCTTAAAATTAAAAGACAGATAGTAAGAAAGTGACTGTCCTCAAATTCGGATTGAATCACGTTACTACATTGGTTGAAACTAAAAAAGCTAAATTAGTTTTGATTGCTTATGATGTTGATCCAATTGAATTAGTCGTATGGCTTCCACAATTATGCAGACGTCAAGAAGTCCCATTTGCCTTTGTTAAAAGTAATTAAATGAATAAATAATTTAGACAAGGCTAGATTAGGAGCTTTGGTTCACTAAAAAACAGCCACTTGTGTTGCTTTGACTGAAGTAAGAAAAGAAGATTAAGCTGAATTTGATAACTTAGTATAAAATAAAATTAATTAAAGGCTCGTGATTTAAGATAACATTACAATGAAAACCATGAATTATTGAGAACTATTGGTGGTGGATAAGTAGGAATCAAATCCAAACATTAATAAGAAGCATTAAAGAAGGCTTTGGAATTAGAAGAACTTAAAAAGACAAGTTAATGATACAGTATTATCAACATATAATAAAAAATATTGAAAATTTATATAAATATGTCAAGTTTTCTAAACTCATTATTCATTTTTTATGCTTCCAAAATCAAAGTGATCTTCAGCAAAATCATCAAATCTACTTTCTTTTGAAAAATCAACTGGAATAATGAGTTATTCCTATTTAATACAGTTTTAAATATAATCTGACATCAAAAATGTCTTGTCATACTCTGAATAAAAAAACTCTTCTGTTTTTATCTTTTAAATTTTTGAGTTAACAAAACTACCCATAATAATATTTTTGAAATTTTAAGACACTATTTTAGCAACGTTTTTTTACATTAAAAATATTTATAATAACAATTGAACACAATAATTTTAAATACATTATCTATTTAATATAATTATATAAAAAAATGAATTGAATGAAATGTTATATAATAAAGAAATCTTTATTGGATTAATAAATTAAACTATAGTTTATTATCAAATATATGTATAGATATATCAAAATATTGTTATTTTAATTAAATTCAATTAAATAATAATTGAATATTTCTTAGTATAAAAGACATAACTTGTCTCTTGATTTTACATAATATATTTTACTTTTAACAATATTTAAAAAATTATAAAAAGAGTTGATGTTTAATAAGGGTAATAGTTTTAATGATATATTAAAATAATTTATTCATAAATAATTAATATATAATATATGAATTATCAAAGAATTTCCTTAGCTTCATTATCATTCATTTTATTTTAATTAATCATCATTAACAAGAGTTTATGTAACATTATTATTTACAGTTATTTAATCTAAATTTTAATCAAGCTAATTATTCTTTATCATTTATTATTCTTCATTTATAATAGTCTTTTCTTTTTTTTCTATCACTTTCTTTGGTTTTGGATCTATTCTTTCAAATGCCATAATACAATGTTAACTAACTCCTTTTTCATATTTATAATTTTTTATTCCTTCATTCATTTTTCTAATATTTATGTATTAAGGATATTTTAATTCCAAATCTTAAGCAATATCTACCCACTTTCTAACTGTAAACATTGGATAAGGTTTAGCAGGCTCAGCTATAATAATCCAATATTGACAATCATTATAATCAATTTCATCAACAAAAGCTTCAACTTATTTATTTGGAGTGCATTCAAATCCAATAGGACAGAAATAATGATCATAGGCATGATAAATAAAGGAGATTTTATCTGTTTTTAATCCAGATGTTAATTTTTAGAGTGCTACATCTCTATCAACTCCTGGAGTAGAAAAATCTCCTTCATTTTTCCATAAAAAATAGGCTCTTCCTTATACTTTTTATAATCTGCATAAATTCTTAAACCAAGATATTAAAGACATGTTTCCACTAAAGCATCCAAATTCTACATCATTAAAATGTGGCCCTACTTCAGTAGTCAAACTATAATAGTTATTATGATTACCCCAAAGAGACAATTACATCTTCTTATGAAAGTGGATTTAAATTTCCTACTCCTAAAGTAGAAAATAAGTAATTCCAACAAGTAACAACAGATGAAATACCACAACTTCTTTAGTATTAAGGTCTACTTAAACTATACCATCTACGAACATCTAAACATCTTCTTTAACTCATTTGTTCTTAAGTAATAGTGAGATTTCTTGGTACATTATTTGTTATTGATTTATTAGTCTATTCTTCTTTAGTTTAAGTTGATTATTATTATTATTATTATTATGATTGTTGTGATTATTATTAAGATCTATTTAATAATTTAGGTTTTGCAATTTTTTGAGTCTTAAACATATTTGTAAAATCAAGTAATTGTTCAGTATTGGTAGTGTCTATATTTTCTGTATTTTCAATAACTTATTTTTCTTATTCTACTAGTGTCTCATTTGAATTCATTATTAATTTTATAACCGATTTAAAATTTTAATTATTTAAAAAACTCAATTGATATTACACAACTCACATATTTGGCATAATATTCCTTTTTTTGAATGTCTACTCTTATCGAATGAACAAAAGTATATCTATTTAACATCATTGTTATAAGTGATTGTATCAGCACATAAATTCTTTGTTCCTTCATTTAAGTAAAATGGTTCAAAGTTAATTTAATGTTCATTCTTAGGATTCTATTGGCAATTATTATATATCTTCATAAATTTTATAATTTATTACTTTTCTAACATTATCTAACACTTCAGGTTTAGCATATGTTGCCCCTTTAGGAGCTTATTCTAATAATTTTATCAATTATTATGCCACTTATATACCAGTTAAGTAATTCTTATTTTTATAAGATAAACTCATAGCAGCTCTTAAAGTTAATGAACGATGAGCTGGCTATAAATCACACATTGCCATATAACATGATAATTCTATTTGTCTAGATATATCTTTATCTTTTTTTGCAAGTTCACATTTCATGGCCATAATATAATTTAAACAAATAGGAACTACATCATTATTTAAATTCTAAAATATAGCTTATTTTAATATTTATTTGAATGTATTTAAAGAATCTTAGAATTTTCCATCACTTGTTTATTTATATCCTATTTTGAGTAATTCACTAAATGATTTATTAATATAGATTTTATCTTATGATGATGAAACAATTAAAGGAGAAGGCATTAAAAAAGGTATTTAAGGTACTTCGAGAATTGATCTCAAAGCTAATTATTTTAAATAATCTTAACAAACTTTTAAACTAACAAAATTATAATTTTATTATAGAACTTAATGACATTATTAATATTATTCTGTAATTAAATATTCTACTGGCTATAGAGCTTATATTAAAATTAAATATCATACCTTTTTTATAATCTGGATATCCATATAATAATGATTTTTAATCTAAAATTGCTTAATTTTATTCAATATTTTCTAAAAGTTCTTTTTCATCTAAATCCCATTAACAATCTTGAAATTATTCATCATTTTCTTCTGTTTTATCTATATTTACTTTTTGTTTAGTTTATATATTTTTATCAAAAAGATCTTAATGATTAGTAGTTATTGTATTAATAATATCTATTTTACTTTGATTTCCAATTTTGAAATTATCTCCTGATAATTTGAATAATTCATCTTCATCTACAAAATTATGAGGCCAATTAATTGAAAATAAAGTATGTTAACTTGATCTTATTATAGGAAGTGGAGTTATTAATGTTTAAGGTTTTAAAGATTAAAGCCATTCAATATCTTCTGAACAATTTTTATTTTTTTCAAATTCTAATCCATGAGCCAATTTGCTAAGATTAGCTAATTTATCTAGATTACAACTTTTTATAAATTAAATTCTTTATTTCAAATTATCCATATTTAATAAAGTCTAAAATCTTAGATCTTGATTGTTTTATTCCTATGCAATTTTACTTATTATATTAAGTTTTTCTACTTAACCTGTGATAGTATAAAGAAATGCCAATTCTCCTGATGCTCTTAACTTTTATTAACAAACTTCATAAATATTATGATTTCCTTATCTCATTGCTTCTTCTAATAACATCTAATAACATTTTGGATTTTTAAGATCTTCACATGTTCTATATGCTATTTCTAAATTATTTGAAGATAGAGCCAATTAAAATTTTGCTCTTTTATCATTTACTAATTAATGTGCAAGTATTGAATAACCTTTTTAATATAAATAAGATATTATTAAATCTCCTAATTTTTAATGATTTTTTATAAAATTCTACACAAATTAAAGATTTTTTTCTATTAAAGCATATTTAAAAAATATTTCTGAACATTCAATAGTTATATTTAGTAATTTATCCATATTATCCATATAATATAATTTATACTAAAAACCAGGTTTTTCTGGAATATTCTAAAATGAAACTAAATAAGGCACTGTTTCCATACTACAAATAATTCCAGTATCTCCATTTAATAAAAGATACTTCACATGTACTTTTGTTGAATATAATATTATATTGATTGAATCATTAAAAAATAACACTGATTTTATATTTATTTTTTCTTAAATACGTGTTATTGGATGAAACTCTTTTGTAAATATGTATATTCCATTTTTAGTTTGAATTAAAATACAATAATCATTCATCTTTATTTATTTGATATTCTAAAATTCATTTGTACAAGGAAATTGATTTAATATTTTATTTGAAATTGGATCTAATACATTTATCATTTAATCAGAATAATAAATGGCTTTCCCTCCAATAAAAGTAAATAAACGATCTGTTTTATGTCCTAATGGAATATGATTATCTGTTTCAAAATTATAAATTTCTATTTCAGAATTCTCTTTTGATCTCAATATTTTTGATTTCCCTATAAAAATAGCAGATTTAGCTAAAAAGAATTAAGATACATTAGTTAATTATTCAAATACTAGAAATTTGGATAATCCTTTTGATTTACTATGTGAATGATGTTTTAATTTCACAATTATTTGAGGTTTAACATTTTCATAAATATTATATAGAACTTATTCAACATTGTCTTAAAGCAAATTATCAGATATACATGATAATTCTTAAAGATTCTTAATTGTTTTATCTGATCCATTTTATAAATCTAAAATCTTTATTAATTTTCGATTTCCAAAATATACAATATTATTATTTACTAAATCAACAGCAGGTCTATTTTTAAATAATGTAAATATATATAAAGCAGAATCACTACCACCTGCAAAATAATTATTACTTTAATGAACAGCACATATCCAAAATCTATCTAATTCATAATTTGTAAAACAATCTACTTCCATCTTCCTCTTCATATCCCAAAGTCTAAGAGTTTTATCCTCTGAATTAGATATAAAATATTCTCCAAATGGATGAAACATAACACAACTTACATTATTCTATTATTTAATCTATTAATTACTGTATGTCCATTATATTAATCCACTTCATATCCTCTTGTGTCATAGTATTTCCAAACTTTAACTTTTTTATCATCAGAAGCAGATAAAATTGTATTATCTTTTGGATTGAATGAACACCAATTAACACCCTAACTATGTCCTTCCAAAATCTAAACCAATTCTAATTCATTAGTTTATTCTCCTAATTAGATCTTCCTAATTATATCTAAATGATTACACTTTTTGATGTAAATTTCTTTTTTAATTAAGCTATTGACCATAATCTTATTGTTTAATCTAATGAACATGTAATCATAAAATCTTTAGATGGATGAAATTCACAATGCATAACATAATGACTATGTCCAGTTACAGTAGCAATCATTTATCTAGATTAATAATTCCATATTCTAGATGTTTAATCATCAGATCCTGAAACACACCAAGGTAATTCTGAGTGAAAATTTACACATCTAACAAAATCTAAATGACCACGCAATACAAATTAACATTTTTTTGTTTTATAATTCCATACTCTTACAGTAAAATCATCAGATCCTGAAACAAATAAACATAAAGATTAATGAAATTAAACTGATCTCACAGGTCCCTCATGTTCATAGAATTCATTTATTGTCTAATATTATTATAAATCTATAAATACTCTTCCAAATCTGTAATCAATCATTTGAATTTCTCCTGAATGAAGACCAACTAATAGCCATGGTTACTTTGGATGAAATGATAATCCTTTAATTCTCTCTGTTTTTTTGTGAAATTTTACAATCATTCTCTGATATTAATTAATTTTATTGAATCAATATATATATATAATACAATTTTCTATTGATTTTTATTTATTATTTAATTAACTACTCTATCTCTATATAATCTATTTGAAATTAATTTATCATTCTATCTTTTAGTTCCATTAAATTATATATTACTTATTAATAACAAATGATCTCTTATATTTATAATTGGTTATTTAGCCTTTCTTAAAAGAATATTTTATTTTTATTTTTTATATTCTCCTACAATTTCTATATTTTTAATCAACCATCTCATTTCTTATAAAAAGTTATCATATTTTAAAACCAATATTGCAAATTAAGTAAAACAGACTTTACAATATAAAATACTTAATTCTATTCTAAATTTTTAAATTAAAATCACACATAGAAAAACTTATTTATCTAAAATTATTTTATACTTAAATATAAATTTTTTTTCTTTTTAGTCACATTATAATTGAAGGATACCTATTTATAAATTTTAATTAAAATAATAATTAATCAATTAGAATATTTTGGTATTTAAGATATAATAAAATTTATACTTATATCTTACCAAATTTAGAACTAATTTTTTTATATTAATTTAATTAGCTATCTAATTATATTTGAATATAGACACTTAGTTGTTATATATTGATGTATAATATTATTTTATTTAAAAATCAATCATTCATTTTGAAAATGCATTTAAATAAAGGAATGTATAAATAAATTTTATTGATCTCTTAGGAAGAGTTAAGTTTAATAATATTAATTTAAATTTTTTAATATGGCATAGAACCAAATAGTAGGAGCTATAAAAATAAAGGATGGATTGTTTATTGGAGATGAATATGCATCTTAGGTTTGGTATTTGATTCAATAAAGGATCGTGAATTCATTATGACAAATAAAGTCACTCATATAATAAATTGTGCTGGAACGGAAGTATAAAATAAATGGACATTAATGGGTGCAAAGTATTTAACATTTAATTGGTTAGAGTAAGATAATGAAGTATTCATTAAAAATGATATATCTAGGTTTTATTTGATGAAAGAAGTGAAAATGTTAATAAAATATTTACATTCATAGAAGAATGTTTTCAATAGGGAGAGAGTTGTTTAGTCCATTCAGTTAGAGGATAGAGTAGAGCTTGTTGTGTACTTGCTGCATATTTTATGAAAAAGTTCGTTAAATATTTAAATTTAATAGATATTCATGGACACTGTATAAAACTCTTGAATATTTAAATTCAAGAAGGCCAGATCTTGAAATTAGAGCATCATTCTTTTATTAATTGAATGCATTAGAAAATAGAATGACAAAATAAGGACCAAAAAGAACAGCCTCTTGGAATGAGTTAACTTCTGATGATCAAAACCCATCTTAAGTGTAGGATGAATTAATCATTAGAAATACATTTTTAAATTCACATAATGGACCTGTAGATGAAATATATACAAATTTGTAAGCAAAATAAGTATGAACTCTATTTTTTTATATATTTTAAGGGAGTCTTAGGAAAAGTTACAAATTAGAAACTAAAATGGAAGGATTAAATGAATAAAGAAAATATGTCATTAGCAACTATTGTATATTCTGGTTCACCTGATTTTGTTCCTGTTTCTGAAATTAATTTAAAAACCGATCCAACAACACAACCTATTTTAAAAGTATATCTTAAACTTTAATTAGGGAGCATAAAAAAATTAATCTTTATTAGTATAACCACCAAAATAACCATAAATTTAGTCTAATTTTCCAAAGAGTTCTAATAATGCACCTTAAGTGAGAGCTGCTAGTAGTAAATCTTAATAATAAGATTAAAGTGATCTTTAATTGAATTCTAATATTACATCAGCAAATCTAACAAATAATCCTTCATTTTAAAATTTATTAATGCATTGTGCAATGAAAACAACAACTCCTTAATAATAATAATAATAAGAATAAAATACTAAGAAAAATACTTTAATTAATAATTTAGTTAAACCATAAATTGATAATCAAAACACTTAAGCAATTTCTTAAATTGCTACTAATTTGCTTTAATTTCAAGCTTAAGCTAATCCTTCTACTGGAATTAGAAGCAATTCTTTATAATAGAATGATGATAAAAAAAATTAAACAGATACCAATAATAATAATAGACCAAGTTCTGTTAAATAAAAAGATAATTAACCTTCTATATTAACAAATTTTTAAGAATTCAAAAATTAAGTATAATAATCCCTTAATTATTTTAATAAATAATAAGAAACAATCTCAAATTTGGATAAATAATCATTATAATCTTAAACTACTTAATTAACAACATAATCAAATACAACTTAATAATAATTACTCTTATAATAAAATAATACTTAATAAAAAAATAAATTAGAATAATTGATTAGTCCAACATTGATTTAGTAAATGAATTCAACTAAACATTCTGAAATATAAAAAACACTTACTTAATCAATATCTTAATTATAATCTAGTTATTAGAAATTTTAGTAATTGCAATAAAAAAATTAAATAAAATCATCATAATCTTAATCCTGTATTTAAAAATAAAGTGCATAAACTAATGAAATTTCTGTTGTTTCTAATCCTTCTGGATTGAATTTAGTTAAAGTTTAAGAAAGAAGTACTTCCTTAACTAAAAATTCTGATAATACAGATATTAAAAATAGACCTAATAGTGCTGAAGTTAAAGAAGGATTCAGAGGAGTTAATTAAACAAAAAAAGATAGCTTATCTCCATTTTAGAAAGATGCAGTCAAAAAAGTTACTTAATAAGGTCCTCCTTTACCTTAATCAAGCTCTTAAATTTATTTAAGAAATGTTTAATGTAGAAGATAGGCTGCATCAACATTAAGAAATTAATAGAAACCAAATAATTCTTTTTAGGATAAATATTTGAATTAAAGTGCTAACTAAGTTTAAAATAATAGTAGTTTTAATAACAATAGTAATTCAGCAATAGAAGCTGATTAGAAATAATCAACTAAAGGAGTAGTTTCAGATTTAAATCAATTTAAAAAGCTCATATCTCCTTAAAATTTAACAAAAAGTTAAGCTTAGTTTGTTAAAAATTAACCGATAAGAGTTTTATAAGAATTAACTGAGAAAACATAATCTTAAAAATAAGTGTATGTTTATAATTTAATCATTAGAAAAGCTAAAGACAATATATCATCCACTAGTTTTACTTTAGTTTAAAAACCATCCACTGTAAATACAAGAACCTTTTCCCCTGCCATAAAAAGTATATATTATAATATTAATATTTAGATGAAACTAAAAATAAACCAAATAATTAAACTAATGTAAGATAAAAAGTAAGGAACTCTTCGCCTGGTATATCAAAAGATCAAGATTCCTCTAATTCATTATAAAATATATCATAAACTTTTTAAGGCAAAAATAGTTGGAAAATGCTATGATTCATCTATTTTTCGTTTTATTATACCTTTTTACAATACTATAATTTAAATAATAATAATATCATTCGATTCTCATTATTAAACCATTTTCAGAATTTAAAATTTGTTATTTATATATTTCTTTTGAATTTGAGGTATTAAGTATATTGTTGTAAAATACTTTATTAATATTTAGAAGTCTTAATTTCTATAATATTTTTTATAATTTTAATTAATAATGCCACCAAAAAAGAAAAAATCAAAAAAGTCTAAAAAGTCAAAGAAGAAAGAGGAATATTTACCATCAATATTTAATATTCCTTAATATGAGAATCCAGATATTGTTACTCCTAAAGTTGACTTGATAATAAAATTGGTACATCCTGTAACCGATTTATTCACTTTGAAAATTAGAGTATTCTATGATATCATTATAAGGTGCCTATAACAACAAGAGTTGAATAAATCCATGAAGAAATTTCAAAAATGCATTAAGGTGCTATTTCTGGAATTTAAGTTTGTCGTGATAGATTTAGTCCTGAAGATGTATAACTTAATCATATTTTAGGTTTTGGATCCAAAAAAGACACTCGAATAATGTGGCATCTTTGATGGAGAAATAAAGTTACTGTATGACTACAAACCTATTGTTGGTCCTCTTTTAAAATGATTATTAGAGTAAACTTATCAAAAATAAATTTTCATTTTTTTTGTGATATTATATATATATATATATAATAAAAGATTTCAAAATAATAAATATATAGAAACTGATTAGCGAAATAATTAAATATTTTGTATAATTCATCAATTTTATTCTTATTAGGCTGCTTATAACTAGATATTTTCATCTTAATTACTTCTTTTTTTAATTCAGCAATTTCTCTCTTTAATCTAATGTTTTCATCTTTCAATTTCTCATATTCTAATTTCAATTTGTCAACATCAATGTCAACTGGAGATCCTAAATACTTTTTTACATAACTAAATTTATTTCTAGAAATTACTCTATGGCATTATTAGGTTTTTCAGGTTCTTCATATAATCCGACTAAAACTCTTGTCAATTAATCAATGACTCCTGCTTTTTCTAAATACTTTCTAAATTCTTCTTTTTTTGAATCAGTTGTCTATTTTATAGGATTTTTTATACTTAAAAGCTCATTGATTTGAAAAATATAAATATTATTTAATTTTTACATCTAATTTTTATGAATTATATTCAGAAAAGGAATTTTGATTAATTATGATAAAAATAAATAATCAATATTCAACAAATCAAATCTGATTTCTTAAGAACAACAATTTTCAAGTCTAAGGTAGAATTACATTAATGACACACATCTCTATATTTTAAAGAAGACATTATAGTTCTTATCTATTATAGTATATGGATCTTAGTTAATTTAATTCACACTAAGCTAATTATTAAAATACATTTATAATTCCATTATAAATAAGTAAAAATAATTGTTTTTGGTAGATTTAAATATCATAAACATGATTCTTATTTTTTATTTTCTATATAAAATTAATGATAATTTTAATTCAATTTTTTAACTTTATATTTGTTATTTTCATTTGATTTTTATATACCAATTT